CCCTGCCAGTGAGGGGACATCCCCAGCCAGTACCACAGACCCCTCCATCCTCCCAGTGCTGAGCTCTAGCCCCTGCTAATGGGGACACTGGGTACCACCTGCCAGGGACTTACCTGTGGGCCTGAAGCTTCAGTTCCTCCTTGGTGGGGCTGAAGACGTGCTTCACCTGGTGCTTGGCAATGGCCTCCCACTTGCCCGTGTTTTTCTTGAGGATGTGGTCCCAGATAATAGGAACCTGTCGGGAGAGGCAGAGCAGGAGGAAGGGGTGCTCACAGCCCGACTGAAGGCACTGCAGTACAGGGGCATTTGAGGTGGGACAGCCAGACCTGGGCATGAGGAGATGCCACCCCCCACCCCCCCCAGGAGGGTGAGCGGTGGCAGTGTGTGCAGAGGCGAAGGTGCAGAGAGCACGGGTGTGCTTTTGGGTACACGGAGGGGACAGATCTGCTCGCCAACAGGCATTTAGGTGAAACAAGACAAAACCTTCCGGGTTCAGCTGGGAGCCAGAGTTCAGCCCCCAGGCCTGGTCTCCCAAACAGAAAGCCCTGGGATCTCAGTGCCCTGCATGCCAGCAGCAGCGTGAACCTTGTGCACCGGAGCCGTTTGCCTGAGCAGATTTTTCCACTCGTCAGTTCCCCGAAGACGAATACACGGGGAAGGGCTGGCTGGCGCGAAAGGGAAAGCGCCCGCCAAGAGCGGTGCGGGGAGTTCAGGCTCTGGAAAGGACGATGCTGCTTCAAACAGCACTGCCTTCTCTGGCAGAGTAAAAATAGCCAGGCCTGGAAGGGGAGGAGGCTGCTCTGGGAGCAGTCGAATGGAAAAACGCCTTTTCAAAGCTTGGCTCGGCGACAGGGAGTGAGTTCACTGCTTTCTGGGCAGAGTGGGGAGCCCATGCGTGTGCTTCCAGCTGGCTCCCCCTGCCCACCCACCGGGCTCAGCCCCAGCCCTTGGTGGAGGCAGGAGCAGCAACTGGCACAAAAGCAGAGATACGGAGAGGGGCAGCAGCCTGGGCAAGGGCTGGACGAGGTCCCCAGTGCAGCAGCTGCCTGTCCTTGCCCCACCGACACGTTGGCAGTTGAGGCTCATGGAGCGAATCCATAACCACGTCCGCCCTGCTGCCACCCCCAGCCCCAAGCGCTCAACTCGCTGGCCAGGAGCCTGCCCCAGCCCAAGCCCCTGGCATGGGCACATCACCCTGCTGGCGGGCCACAGGGCCAGCCATGCTAGGGACAGTGTGCTCCCCCACCACACAGCCCAAGCGGCTGCTGCACGACCCACCCGTCCGCCCCAGGAAGCGGCGCAGGAGCCTCCAGCAGCGGGGAAAAGCCTGTGTTCTCCCAGCTCTTCTCAGCTGCCCCTATGCAGATTTCTCCCACACACAGTTTCTCTCCTCTGCTTACCAAAAGGCAGTGGCACTTTTCTCCAGAGGTTACCACTGCAGAATTAAAACTCCCAAAACACTGACAGTTTGAAGACCCTCAGGGCCCAACTCTCAAGCCCCAGATATTGGCTGGGACCAGTTTGAGTCCAGTCTCTATCGCCAGACCTTGGTGTCCCTCCATACACAGCGTGCCAAGCAGCCCCGGCCCAGGGCTGTAAAAGGGAACTCTTCCCTGGGAAGTCCAGAATTCATCAGGAAAACACTGATAAATGTTAAATAAAGAGTTAATTGTCAAAACAAGACAGGGGTTGTCTCTGCCCCATGCAGCCACCACTCAGGGCCTCAGTGCAATCTGGAGAGCTGTTTATAATCCAACACTGATGCCTTTAAATGTGGATTGCTTGGCCGCTGCGATACCAGGACAAGACTCCCACACCATACACGGACAACTCTGCTGTGAAATGGGTGCTTGGCTGCTTTACCAAGGCACTGCCTCTCCAGAGCTGGGCTTGCTCTGGGGAAAAGAGGGTAGGGAGCTATCAGGCTTAAAGTAGAGCAGCTGGAGAGGTGGAAGAAGAGCTACAGGATACCTGCTCCAGGATGAGATCCTTTTTGGGGGGAGCCGGCTCTGTCATCGCGAGGTGGCTCAGAAATCTCTGCATCTCCACCAAGTTGGGCAGCTGGTCCATGAGGACGTCTGTCAGGAAGGCACGGAGCTGTGGCCATGGAGGGGAAAAGAAGAGCGAATGGAGAGAGGTCAAGACAAGGCAGCCAGAGCTGGGCAAGCAGCATGGCAAGAGCAGGGATCCACATGGCACTGGCAGAGCGACCCATGAGTGTCCCATAAGGTGGGCTCACAAACACAGGCTTTGCTGCTGCTAGCACGGTGACAGAGCCCACTGCTCTCCCACCACTGGCTCCTTTGGAGGCCACAGTGGAGATGGGGAGAGGTGCCCGGGGGCTCCTAGTGCTGGCAAGGTCCTACTCTGTACTGTGGGGCTCAAGGCCTTTGTGGTGGAGGGTCCTACCTTGAGGAGCTGGCTCTTGTTGAAGCCATCAAAGTGGTATTTGTGCTGGCACTCAGGGCTGAGCAGAAGGTTGAGGAGGGCGAGCCACACCTGCCCATCGAGCTTGGTCATCTTCACCTGGTCTTCAGGAGGTACCACGTGCCACATGCCATTCTCAAACTTCCTGAGCTTGCCTGAGGGACAGTAGAAATGTGACTCCAAGGAAGAGACAGCGCTCCTGAGGGCAGACAGCTCAGAGGCGGGGATGCTGGCCTATGCTCACTGCCTCACTTCACCCCAGGCAAGCCCCTCTGCTCCTACCTGACTCAGCTTCCCCACCCCTTTGCTCAGCATAGCAGCATACTTGGCACGGAGACAATATATTAGAGAGCATGAAAAGCATAAAGAACATGCATTAAGACTATAGAGCTGTGGCAGGAACTGAAAGATCCCCAAGGTATCTCCCAGGAGTGTAGAGCACTGGTAGATGGTGGGGGAGCCCATGCTGCAACAACAGAGTGGCTGGAAAGGCATGTTTTGGGGTAGCAGCATGGCCAATACCCACTCTTCTGGAGTTCCTTCTGCTAATGAAAGCCAGAAGTAGCATTAATATAACAGAAGTGACAAAACAAGCTCCACAAGCTACTGTTCTGCTCTGGGGGATGGAGGAGGATGTAACCCTGCATCTGCACAGCCTGGAAATGCCCTTGCACTCATGTTTCTTTCCAGTCCCTCCCTCAGAGCCCTGGATCAAAGGTCCCTCTGACACCCTGATTGAGAGAAGGGATGCATTTCCTGGCTGGAGGAAGGAGGAAAGCTTCCACATCCAGCTGGGCTCCTCTCAGCAGGCGCAGAGCCACGTGCTTCCCAGTATCTCTTCCTCCCCTGTCTGTGCTGTGACCCCCTGGTGTGGGGCTGGGGATGGGAGTGTGGGTTCCCACGCCCCAGACTGTGCCCTGCTGCTGCTCAGAGGCAGGCACTGGGGAAGTTGGGGGGCTGCAGGGGGGCACACCTGGCTGCAGAGTTGGGGGAGGCAGGGTTGATGGTGCAGGTGATGGCTGATGGGCACAACTTGATCAGAGGCCTTTCGCAAGAGCGAAGCTCAAAGACCAGCAGCTTCAGGGCAATCAGTTTGCTGCCTGGGAGAGTCCATGTCTCAACCTAATTCTCAGTGCTGTCTCAGAAAGGTGCAGACAGGCTGAGACTGGCACTCTGGTCTTTCTGTGTCCAAGGCAAGACTCCTCAGAGGAGCAGATGGGGCTGGCAGATGTGCTATGCTCACACCCTGGCTGTGATCAGCTCAGAAGAGACCCAGCCCTGTGTGAGGATTGGCTTCTGGGAGCACGGCCGGGTCCCCAGCCCAGCTGTGCTGCAGCCGCTTTCGAGCTGTACAGCTTCAGGCTGGGAGCACTAGTGAGGAGCAAGGGGAGGAGGCTGGGGGGAGGCTGGAAGGGGAGTAGATTTCTGCAAGGGCTCCTACAGCAGGCCCGTCACTGGATGCAGGTCCCAGTAGGCCACCACTGTGCCCCAAGTACCACGGGGGCATGATCTGTACCTGCTTCCCGGCAGCTCCAGGGGCAATGCTCCACCAGCTCGACGAGGAGGCAGGGCAGGTTGTGGGTGTTCAGCATCCGTGTCAGCGCACTCAGGGGCAGACTGGAGATATGACAGAAAGGGTGAAAGGGCGCTTGAAGACAAATGCCAGAACAGATACAAATGCTCCCTGAGGCAACTGGGAGAGGCAGGGAAAAAAAAACCCCACAATGATCTGGGTTCTTGTGAGGGAGCAGGGTGGAGTGCTGCAGCTTTTGCCTCCCCGGGCACAGTGCCACTGCCACCACGGACACAGCCAGCTGCTGAAAGGGGTCCAGGCACCCGCTGAGACCCCACAGAATCTCCACCGAAGAATTTGGTGTGTGTCCTCTGCTGCTCCTGGGCACCTACCTCTCCACCTGATCGGTGATGAACCGCAGCACAGACAGGGCTTTCAGGGAAATCTCAAATTCCATCGTCTCCGCCTGCTTCTGCAGCTCCTGTGGAGGGACAAGCACAGCCTCAGGATTTCAGGCCCCATTTCCCAGGAGCTACAGGCAGGCAGGCTGTTGGCTGCACATCGCTAACCACAGACTGGGGAGGAAATCAGAGCCCTGCAAAACAAACTCAGCTTCTTGTCTCAACTGTGCCAGCACTGCCTGTTTGCCCTGGCAGCCGCTGAAGTGCTTGCAGCCCACTGTTGCTCGTCCTCATCTCCCTGTGGCTATCAGCAGCAGCACCCCTGCACAGGGATACCCCCTGAAAGAGGCCAGCCCCAGACCCCTCCTCTCTCTCTCTCCTGGGATCATCTCGTGGCCCACGGACCTGCAGAGACCTGTGAGGTTGAGGGAGGGGGGAGCTGCATGATCAGCAGAGGAACCAGAGGAAGAAAAAGGAGGGAGAAACTTAGCCCTGGCACAGCTGTCGATCTACAACCACCCCTCCTGGATCTGCCTCTCCCCTCCAGCTTGCATACAGCCCGCTAGAATATCTGCCTGTGGTCATCCCAGCCAGCAGCTACGCCACACTCTCCAGCCACCCGGTCTCCTTCCCTTCCCCAGCAGCATGGACATCCAGTTCATCCCCCACGTGCTCAGGCTAACAGCCTGACCACCCTCTGACTCAGCCTCTTTCCAGCCATTGGGATGGCCAGGCTGAGGGTGCCAAGCCCTTCTCCCTGGCCCAGGCAGAGCTTCTCCTTTCCAGTCCCAGATGCTCAGCAGCTCACATCTTTGTCTGCAGAACACTGACCTCAGCAACTCATATTTCTCTAAAGCGCCACTGCAACAGTTCCCTTCCAAATTCCTGTGGTAAGAAGCCCTGTGCTCCCTGTGCTGGTGCCCCACACGGTACTAAGAAAGCCTTAGGGCTCTTCCCCACCACCTCCCTCTCCAAACTCCCCCAGTGAGGCAGTTTCCTACAGCTCCTCCTGGTATCCAGACCTGATCTCTACAACCTTCAGGCAAAGACTATCTTTTGCCTGTCCCTCTGGGGGACAGCAGGACAGGTCCTGCTCCAGGGGTTACCACCATACACAGTCACAAAGGACAACAGGCTCCACAACACAGGATTGGGCAGGAACAGCTTTTTCATAGCCAGTTATTGTATGTAGAAGCAGGAGGGGCTGGAATGAATCAGAGGAAACCAGGCTCCTTGGGAGATGAGCGCTTTTTAGAACCCTATTGGCTAGAAAAGGTTGGATTTTTAACTTGAGCTATGTCAAAGTACTAACAGAGACACCCCCTTCCCCTCCCCAGCTGGGAAAACATTTCCTGGAAAACATCCCTATTGTGCTCTGAAGCCCTCCACTTCCTTCCCTTTTCTGGAAGAGGAGCACGTGCTCAGGCAACAAGCCAAAGGATGGAGGCAGCATGGGAGGTACAGCCAAGCTTGCAGGCTATCACTTTAACCCCACTTCTCCAGATGCTCCTTGTCATGTGTGTTGTTTAAGTAGAAAACTCAAGGTGCTGAGAAACAGCAGAAGCAAAGAGCTCCCACATTGGGAAGGTGCGAGGCAGCCCAGGAACACCTGACTGGGAACAGCTTCAGGCTTGCTGCTGACCCAGACCAGCACAGAGAAGCAGCATTTCTCAGACAGCCGAGGATATTAGGGGAAAACACATTAGCACAATTCCTAGTCAGACTGTACATCAATTTAGGGAAGAATCCCTCTCATGGTTAACACTGGCTGGCTCCAGTGGCAGCCTGAGCTAAGATGGTTTCACAAGCTCCAGGAAGACATACCCATACAGCTTTCAAGAGCCATGTCAAACAGCCACAACCCCTGGTACTGAATATTTTGCCTAACTGTCGGGTCCCCAGTGTCCCTGCCTCAGAGCTCGGGCCACGTCCTGCAGGAAGAAGCCTCAAGCTGGCCCTGTCAGGACAGAGGGCGGCAGGCGGCTGCGGGGTGGAGTGAGGCGAGTGCAGCTGCCGGCCCAGCGGAGCTGCTGCTGCGGATGTGCACCAGCATCAGACGCCCTCTGAGATGGGCAGGAGGTGCTGGGGTTGCAGTCAAGGGGCCCTCCCCATTGTGCCTCTTCATGTGGCCCACATCCTCCATCACACGTGTCCCAGTGAGCTCCAGGACCTTCTCCTCACCTGCATGGATGAGGGGCTGGCCAGATCCTCGGGACGAAGTCCGACCGGGGTCACTGTCTGTCTGTTGGCGCTCCGAGCGATGAGCAGAGTCAGTTTTCGGTGGCAATAATCAATCAAATCCAGAATGCTGTCCTCTGCTGACTCGCAGATCTCCTTCACAGTAACAAGAGTTTCACAGAGGGCCAGCCCCTGCAGCTGTGGCTTTCCACCCTCAAGGGCTTTACACTGAAGAAAGCTGAACCTGTCTCTTACCTTGTGAAAAAAAACCGTCTCCAAGAGGTTAATGATGGAGGCTTCATGATGCAGCTGCGGGAGGAAAACGGCAAGAATGAGGTAACAGTGGAGCACTCACCAGCACTGAGGACATGGGCAGCAGGATCGGGGAAAGAACTCTTCTAAGAAACTGCTTATATAGTTGTGGCCAACACAAGAACCAAATACAAGTGATGTAATCTTTAAAACAATGCCAGTTCGTGCAGTTCATATTAATATGTATGCTAACATGCCTGTGATGCTATAGCACACTGACAGAGAGTCACGCTTCTCAGCAGGGCTCCTCAAGGCTCTGTCTCTGCACTAGTGGCAGTACAACCACGGCCCTCGGGCAAGCTGTAGCCCCTGGCACTGGCACAGAGCCACTGCCTGAGATCGGACAGCGCTCTGCATGGCTGCACTGCTCTCAGCCCAGGGAGACAGCCTTGTCCGGAGACTGGGAACCGTGAGATAACTGCCTCGAGGTAATGCTGCAGACAAACGGCTGCTCAGGGAAGAGACTGCCTTGCCTGAGCACGGTGTCACCCTGGACTGAAAATGGGCTAAAACTTCCAAGCACCAGGCACATTTCCCTTAGGCCAAGGGCTTCATCCCTTCACAGGGAAGCCCAGCTTCTGAGATCGCTCACTTGCCCAGAACGGCTCAAGGGGCCACTGGTCCCAGGAGCTTGGTAAGAAAAAGCTTCATTTTTCTTAACCCAGAGGCACATAACCTAGGAGAGGCTTCTGGTTAGAGGTGCCAGAGAAAAACTACTCACAGGAGGGGAAATGCCCCAGGGGTGGGTGTTCCTGCCCGGAAGTGAGAGTAGTACCAAGTCATTGGGAGCTGCAAGCCATGAGCACAGCTGCCTTCAGGAGCAGCTTTTGCTGCACCCAGCACCTCCTGCAAGCCCCTGTGCAGGATTAGGCAGGAGCCAGCCCTCCAGGGAGCTGAACTCCCCTGGAAATGGCTCCCTGTCCCTCCTAGGGGCAAGAACATGGGCTTGTCACTCATGGCTTTGGGAAACCAGGTACTTCCCACTGTGTCACACTGTTCAACGCAGCTTCTCAGCCTGGTGAGATGTAAAACCCCAGCTCCAAGATCTTCAGGGTGACATTTATTTTCAACATAGTGGTGCCCACCCAATTTCCAAGCTTGTTCCCACTTCCCCCTCTACTCACCACCACATAAATGGGGAAGGTGTTTCTCGGCTTGAAGTCCTCCAGCTGGCACAGCACAGGGAAGATCTTGTGCTTCCAGATCTCCACAGAGATCAGCTCTCCAATCAGAACAGGAATCTAGACAGGGAAGGGACAGGGGAAGTGAAGCCTTTCAGGCCAGTGCTGCAGAAGGAACCAGTTTTATAGATAATTTTCAGCCACACAGACTTTAGAGTCATCTGATAGAGGAAAGCAGCCTAGAGGCACACCATCTTTATATTCATCCAGCTCAAAAATCAACAGCTTTTCACTAACAGACCAGTGGGTAGAGAGTGCTCCTGGAGTTGCAAAGGGGGAAGATGACCCTGAGGAGCTGGACGGGTCCAGGGCACCACACACCCCAGTGTAAGCAAGCACATTCTGGGGCTGCCACATCCCAGGTATAGGGCAGAGATCCACAAGTGGAGCGGCCAGTGCACAGCAGAGAACAAAACAACCTCCAAGAGAGTAACCAGACACCAGCAAGTAGAAATACACAACTTGACCTTTAATTTTTTTTTTAAAAAAGCAAAACTGGCAAACCACCAGTCAAATGTCTTTGCTGGAGATACAACTGAATCTTCACCATTTTATTCAAAAATTGCACATTGTCCACAAGATAAGCCCAGCTCAAGGCTAAAGGCCTGGTGTGGGGATCACTATCGCACCCAAGGAGGCTCACCTTGGCGTAGGTGACCAGCAGCTCGGTGAGGAGCTGCTCCTGGCCCGCGGAGGCGCTCAGGATAGCATGCATGTTGAGCTTCTCCACGCACTCGTGCTGCCGAAGCCATCTGCAGGGCAGCCAGCAAGGCCATCAGCGCCATGGGCCTCTGGCCACTGGCTCTGGGGCTCCACTGCACTTCTGGAGAGGGCCCCACATGGAGGGAAAACTGCTCCCAGCACCCCCATCCCCAGGAAATGCCCCAAGCCTGTGAGACACCCCCAAGCCCCACACTGTCCCCTGAGCCTGCGCTCCCTGGGGCAGCAACACTACCCATTGAAGCCTCAACTGCTCTCCCGCCTGCTCCCAGCAACACCTACCATGAGACAGCCTCGCAGGGGACACCCCAAAACTGGGGGTCCTCCTCTCCATTCGCCCCTACCCACAGAGACCCTCTGGGGACACCCCCAGATCTGGGATCCTTCCTCATCCTCCCCTCAGTCCTTCCAGGAAGCAACCAAAATGGGTTGAGGCCCCCTCCTCTGGGCCCACCCCACCCTTACTCTCTGGGGAGGCCCCAAAACCGGGGCCCCTCCTCTCCCCCCACAACCCCAACGGGCACACTCCAAATTTAGTGCCCATTCCTCACACCCACCCCCGCCCAGACCC